CTGAGTGACTGTGGCATGACTGTACCTGGTGTCCAGAGGCACCCACTGTGGGACAGGAAGGAAAGCTTGAGACGGGACCCTCCCTGGCTGGCCAAAGGGCTGCGGGAATTCTTGCAGACGACTTTCTTGTTCTCACTGACTACGTGGAGAGAGGAAGAGCTCAAGCCTGCAACTCCTTCTGCTGCCTCAGTTGGGTTTGGGGAAAGGTAACCTAGAGAGCCACAGGCACAGTCATGGAAAGGAGGAGAGCCATCGCCTCCTTCTTGCGGGTGTAGCCCTGGGCAGCTCTGTGCTGTGGTTTTAGCTGTCACAGGTGACAGGGTCCTTGCCCTGCGTGGCTGAAGGAGCTCAGGTGAGGAAGCCCTGTAAAAGCCCTCAGCGCATTCTGCACAGGAAGTGCAGTCACTAGAGAACACACTACCACAAGGAGAGATCCTTAGGGGACGCTAAGGGTATGGGAATAGAAGGGGGGGGACCTATGTAAATCTTTAAAAACTGAGAATGCAAACCAACCTCCAAATCACCAAAGAGAAGTCAATAGTTTCATTTCCACACCATGGCATTTTGGGGGTACTAGTCTTTATGGGACTTGCATCTCATTCTCCGTGAACCAACAGCTCTACCCTCCAAAGTAAAAGGAGAAAGAGTCCACATTTTTGAAGTTATGGTCACTCTGAAGCCGAAAGAGGGACAGACTTTTCTACTTAATAAAAATTTAAATTCCCCCCCTTAAGGCAGCCCCCCACTTGGAAGGCACTCAGTAGTGATGAGTTCATTAAATGCTAATGTTTCTTTTCATTATTATATACTACATATCACTCTTTATATGGGTTCCACGTGTAAACTAAGGGAGTCACTGCCTGATACAGTCCCACTAGAAAGCCTGCACGCATGTGCGCGCACGCGCACACACACACACACACACACACACACACACACACACACCACAGACAAAGCAGCTGCGAGTCCCCTTAAGGCAGCCCCCCACTTGGAAGGCACTCAGTAGTGATGAGTTCATTAAATGCTAATGTTTCTTTTCATTATTATATACTACATATCACTCTTTATATGGGTTCCACGTGTAAACTAAGGGAGTCACTGCCTGATACAGTCCCACTAGAAAGCCTGCACGCATGTGCGCGCACGCGCACACACACACACACACACACACACACACACACACACACCATAGAAGCAGATCAGCTGAGAAAGACACCAGCAAAGGGAAGATAATTTGAGATACTTCTGAGGTAGCAGTTGTAAAATTAAAATAAGCAACTCATTAAATTATCCATAGAGTGAAAAGAAAGCTACAAAAATAGATATTTTTCTGGCAAGTCAATGCTGTTCAAGAACAAATTTAGCTTTAAGCAGAATCTTAAAATCAGATGATATCAGTTCATATTCATCAGAGTCACTTGCATGGCTTAGACTAGCTTGGTCCTAACTGAAAGCAAAACTCGTATTTGCTGGCCTTTGGTGCAAGCATGTTTTATTTAAAGCTGTATGCAGACATCACTTTAGCTGGCAGATTGTAAGCAATATGATCAAGTGAATGTTATTTGAGTAAATTGGAGCCTGGTCTCAGGACTACAGAATTTAAAAACTCTGTGTCGTGCTTTAATGCTGATTTCCCCTTGTATTTGTTGTGGTCACCCAATCTCTCTCTGTCTGTCTGTCTGTCTGTCTGCCTGCCTGCCTGTCTCTGTCTCTCTCCCTTGCCCTCTCTTCTCTCTCTCTGCTCCATTTTGCTATGTTGTTTCTTACTAAACCTTCCTCTAGAGGACAGGACAGGAAAAGGAAAGAATCTTTAATTCACCATCTTCTTTCCTTATTAAGAATTTAGATTAGAGATTTGATAGGGAAAGCGCCTGACAGATGAATGAAAGGGGAGGCTTATGCCTGCACATTTTAGAGCTTTTCAAAGCCTTTTCTCCCATTTACACTGAGAGATAACTGACAAATAATGTCCTATACACCAGAGAACCTCTTGCTTTTAAAAATCCCCCCGCAGTGCCTTGACCATGCGAATTAGATGGTGTTTCCACCTAAGCAGACCTCGGCTCAGCCCAGGGAGAAGGCTGCGGGTGTCAGAGTGCCGTTCCTGGGTGGGGCACCTGCTTCCGGGTTCGGTTGCTTCTCAGCCCCTCCCACCGCCTCCTCTGTCCTCCAGAACTGCTGTGTTGTAGTTCTTACTATCAACAACACTGGAAAAGCCACAGGCAGGGCGCACACATTTTCATTTGCGTTGGTCCTGAGCTGTCCCACTGGGGGCACCACACTGAGCTAAAATCTCACCTAGAGAATATTACCGCGCAAAGCCAGGGCACAGAGTGGGCTCCTTACTGCTACATTTTCCATATTCACCTTCTCCGCCCCCATCACCTTCTGATTCCAAGACCAATGAAATCTCCTGCCTTCCTGCTGAAGAGCTCTGGGTAAAGACAGGTAAACAGTGGCCGCCAGGTGCTTCGTTCTTAAAGTGACATTCATTTCCACCACACTCCAGGAGAAACCATTTCTGCTTCCAAGCCAAGGAGGAGGGGAGGGAGCGTGTGCGTGTGTAAGAGAGCATGACGTGACACTTTTGAGGTTTATTTCAGTTGTTAAAGATCCCGGGGTTACGAGAGAATTAGACTGCGAAGCATTTTCCCTCCTCGCCTCCCACAGACACGGAATCTACAATTTTCTCAGTCCCACTGTCAGATAAATTGGCAAGTTGACTAAAAGGATAATACTCCCTTAGCGATGCGCTGCCTGGAAGCCCTAGCAACTGTACCAGCAGCAGCCTTCCCAGCGAGGCAACCGCGATTCAGAGTGGCAGATGATTTCCCCCATCCGTCAAGCCGCCTCGAAATGTCACAATATTTACACCTCTTCCTGGGTGAATTAGAATCCAGAGAGCAGCAGACAGAAAGAAAGACAGATCCCGACCGGCTGCATCTTGACTGGGGAAAAGCGGGCCTTGCACCTTTAAATTCTTCCCCTCCGCCCGCCCCCCGGGGATTTTGCAATAAATCTCCCAGATCTGCGTTCAACCCTGCAGATCCGTATTTAAAACAGCACCATCTGGGAAGGTGGGTGGCGGCGGTGATGCGGGCGCCTTGGAGTTCCTTTGCAGCACGCTCGGAATTGCATCAGACTCATCAGAAATCCCCCCGCCCGGCGCCCCGCCTCGCCGCGCTCGCGCGTGGATTTTTCCCGTGCCATCTGCGCCCCAGCTGCTCCGTCAGGGCACTGCGCACTCTTTGTGGGCCAAGCAAGCAAGCCCACCCAGGCCCACCGTCCCGGGCTGGGCTTTTTTATTGTTGATATTATTTCCCCTGTCTGAATTCGCACTCTCCTGGCGTCCCCTGCGCACCATCATTTCCACCTGCGCACAGCTGGGCGATCTTTCTCCCCCTGCGCCCGCGACCTCCTCTCCAGTTTGGAGTTTCGGAAATGGGTTTTCCCTTCTCCTCTCCCCACCCCGCCCGAGGCCAGGCCTTTCCTTTTCTGGGAGCAGGGACGAGCGGGCACTGAGTCCGGACCCACCCATCCCGGGACTCCGCAGCCGGAACAAAGGGCCCGGCTGGGCGGGGCGGACCCGCAGGAGCGCGGGTG